ACGCGATTTTTTCATACCGGCACGAACGAATTCGCGATTTCTTACTCCGACCCATCAATCCCGCTCGATTCACTATTACTTAAAAAAGGGTATTAAAAAACCTGACGTCAACAACGAACGTGTGATGCAACACATTTTAAGAAAATTATTAGAACTTCCTTTAGAACCGTGTTTATTTCCCTACCTCCCCTGCAATCTCATTTCATCCAATCGCAATCTCACTTGGAAACTCGATCACTCGTACGTTTGAAAAATTCTAGTAGAGGAAACCGAGTCGTTGATAAAAGAATCGATTCGTAGCGTGGTGCACTAAATCTTCCACGCACGTCTAAGCACACAACGAGACTCCGTGACTATGCACACGACACGGGACACGCTCAGGCTCGAACAGTCCCAGTCCCAGTCATACGTAATGCACGCGAACCGATGCTTTATTACGAGCGCAACTGAGCTCGTTACGTAATCCGCGGGAACCTCGGAAGGTCTACGCTCTATAACACGTGCGTGGCTTACGCAGAGACACCGTGAACGAACTTCTTCCCGCTTTTTATCAATATGCATTTCTATACTGCATTGTTGGTTAACGATAAGAAATAGCATGACTCATAGGCCTGTATTCAGAGTTGTTGCTTATTCTTAAAATCGTTTTAAGCATTTGCTATCTCTGTCTATCCCATGTTTCCAGTCCCTGTCTTGTACAGGAAACAGAGATCTTAAATATAAGCCATATATAAGAATACCGGCCATAGAAAATTTAAATAACGTGATTTACTGTAAATCAATATTTGAGGAAAGTCTTCGCTCTTTTTAGAAATTTTACAATAATCGTATTAGTAATTACGTTGAGTATTACGTGAAAATTATGCGAGTAACTGAATGAGGAAGTTCTTTTCGAGGAAACGTGCAAATATTGCGCAACACAGTTGACTCTTGATTAAGGATCACTGTTATTCATGAGATCAGTCTATGAGATTGTTGAAAATATTGAATTTTAGCTTTGTTTTCCAAAATAGACCACGCGGTTCACAGGCTAAGCCGTTATTCGAGGATCGATAGCAGGCTGCGAGACTCGGCTGGTTATGTAACATACAACGTGGCCCAACTTTTCTGGGCACGTGTGTGTACGCACGCATACTCATCCTCGTTCCTATTATGTGTACTTAACATCTTTTCGCAAACACTCTCGTGCGTATAAAAGATCCGTAATAGGAATTTTAGAACACGTTTCTCTGTTCGTATCCTCTTTTATTTATTGTAGTTGCTTATGGACGAGAAAATTCAACGACTGATGAGAGAATGTAGTATGATGAGGTACAGTTAAGAAGATTAATAGGTATTCGATCATCGGAGAAATGAGAGTAGAATAACGGAACGAAGAAAATCTCGGCTCCAAGTAGTACGAGTCAGTTATTAAGCCAACTCATGGGAAATGGGAAGCACCATAAAACTTCTATTCTGAACTATTCATGATAGAATTATTCAGTTTTAAAAATCGATTTTCTAATATCTCGAATTTATTTAATCTCGTACAACAGAAAATCTATAAATATCTAATCGAAATAACGAGACAAATTGCTTATCAATTACATACTGTGAGCCCTTGAAGGATTAGCTCAGCTTTATCAATCTGATATCATATCTACGAATATAAACAATGTAATAAAACCAGTCCCTCTCAAGTAGGATGTTCGCATAAATTGACTACCTAAGAGATCTTTTTTTTAATGTTCTTTACGACCATCATTTTTTATACTCGCAACGAAGGTATTAATGACTATTGTAAACACTCAGAGACACCAATACAGGTTTCTAAGAAACAGAATTTTATCTCTATTAACTCGAATACTAAAAATCCCCGTTCCTGGCAGGAAGGGTTCCGAGAATGAAAAGTAAAGTTTGGACTCGGTTCAGAAACGATCGCATTACTTCCCTACGACATCGAATCGAAGCAGCCGGTTTAGCGAGCATTCCAATCTCTGCTTTTTCATAACATCGTTCACTGGTAAGTCCGAGGAGGACGACAATCGAAACGCAACGTGGCTGCCCCTATCGATTCGCATCCCCTGCTCGGTCTCTCCTTCTAGCTTTCCGTTTCACCCATCGCCGATCTTTAACCCGAGAAAGAGAGAGTGAATGTCAAGGATTGCGGATACCGAATTCTTGGCTGGCGTGCATTTTTCAGGGGGAGAGTCTCCCATCCCCTGTCTGCCGTCTAGGGGAGCTCTATAAAAACCCACTTAACGTGGACGTACAGCTTTACTCGGCGAGGACGGTCGATAATTTTTCGAGTAATTGCAACGGATACGTGTATATAATAATTCTTAACAATAGCCGTCAGTCAGACTGACGTTCATTAATTAGAGAACTGCCATTATAAAATATTGATTTTATGAGAGAAGCTGCGACCAATTGTTCAACGGCTAACGAATATCGACAACAATGTAATCGACTTTCGGGAAAAACTAGAAACGCTTCAGGTTCGACCTTTAAAAGAGCTGCTACGTAATTTCGCGCACATGTATACTTGCCGTGCAATTTTTTTCGTTATCCAATCGCTCCGACCATTACTTAACGATTTTCAGATAAGTAAGATTCGCATGTAATATTTCATCCTATTCAGTTTGCTTATCACCGTAGGAGATAATTATTTACGACCTGAACGGGGCAAATATTGAAAACTCGGAACAACGTGCCTCGCTTCAAAGTGCGAAAGCTATCAACGGCGAGCGAACTTCGTTTTACGATACACAAAAACGTGCGCACGTTATGCAATACCGGCGGTATTTCAATTTCAAAAATAAATTACTGCTAACAGGAAGGCAGTAGGAAATATGTTCGTCCCACCTCGCAAAAAATGAAAATTTGTACGAGAACATCATAACTCGAGCTAACTTTTCTTCACTGAGCCACTAACGCAAGGATTGCTTTTATACGTGCGAACGTAATGTAGATATAAGCTTGGATGATAATATTTGAAAATAGGCGATTACAAACATTTGACACGCGAACCGCTGGCTACTATGTTCGTTATTGGAATGAAGACCATTATGTTACCATCGCGTTGTTGTAACGAACCCCTCAATCATCCAATTAGGATGTGCATTTTGAAAATTACGCATCGCGATAGCACGAATATAAAAATTATAAAAAAAAGATATAGAAGTGTTCATAAGTAGGCGAAAGAAGTTGTAAATTAGGGCAAGGCTAAGTAAGACGTTAACAGCATTAAGTAACGGAATAAGACGGAAGGAATCTCTTATTTAAATTGACGCTTTCAGCAAAAGTTGTCTAAGAAATGTCTAAAAGCAAGAAATCTTTCTTACGGTCTGAACACGGAAAACATCTAACAGGAAATTCACAAAATCGTTATATTATAATATGTATTTGGTTTTTAACATTCGCAAGAAGACATGTGGTTTTGCACAGCATCTTTTATTGTTATAACTCTAGCATTTTTGTTAATAATGCACAGAAAAATACAATTAGATGTAGCTGTAGCTATCTTCGCATCCCGTCCGTTGCATTTCGTGACGTCACACGCGGGTAGGACATTTACTACCCCATTTGATTTATCAGACACACCGAGATCAACCGCATTCAACCTTGTCATTCGAGAGATGCAAACAGGCATAATGTGAGAATGTCAAGTTCCTGAAGATCCCAACAGTTTTTAGGAAAGTGCATTATGGTCCTCGATGGTCCCCGCTTGGACCCGATTACTAGAAAAGGCATGGTATAGGCAATGAAGGTAATCAGTGAAGAAGAGGTGTATTTTCTCGCGGAATAGAGTTTAGACGCACAGTGTGTACGGTTTTTACATTAGGCTAGAGAGTTTACGCTAGACGTGTCAGGCAGCCGGGTATAGATGGAGGCAGTGTATGTAAGTATATATGTATGTTCGTATGCATGTATATCGGTACGGGTCATCGACGACGATACCTTCAACGCCGAGAAAGAGAGCGGACTTTAAGCACGAGAGAACAGCGTCGACTAGGACTAAAAGACTAGAGTAAGGTCGCGTGTAGAGCACGTACTCGCTTTAAGCTAGATACATTTCGACGACGGTAGGCAAGTCATGGAGGAGAGGGTGCACGGATCGATGCTTAGGCTGGGAAACGGTCCCGGATAGGATAACGAAAATACGCTCGCGGATACGTAGTCGTGCGGCTGTCACCGGATGAAACGGCCCGCCTGTAGCCTCGTTCATCTATGTACGCGACAATCGGTCCCGTGCCCTTGTTTATCACGACGGGAACGCGTTTTTTTCCGTTGCCGGGCAAAAAATGACGGCGCACGCAACACGTCTATCGTGCGATCAACGAAACTGGATTGCTGAATCCATTTTACGCAAGTCTCGCGTCGAATTCTGATCGTACCTGGTATTACGTGCAGTTATGAATTAGGGATCGTGGTCGGAGGATGTACACGCGCTCGATGCCACGCAAAGACTGGCAAAATTGTAACAGCGATAAAGGTACAACGCATGTCGTAGTGACAACGTTTGTTCCCGGGGTTTATAATAGATCAATGACTAGACGCACACTGGGGAACATGCGACCACGAGATACGCTCGAAGGTCTCGATGGCATGCATGACTTTGAACGTGCACGACGCACGACATGAGGACGTGGTGTCCTGAACGTCGTCGATAACTGATTAATTAAAGACTCACCACCGATACTGAGAGTTCTCCATCGAGTTTTCCGTTTAGAACCCTTCTTGCCCATCTCTGGCCAAGACCGAGCTGGTCCTCCTCCCTTCTGTCTCTCGTCTCCCCAGCGATCTCGGCCGACTTTCTAGAACGAAAACTCCACCGAAATCATTCTTGATCGCGATCGATCTTGTCACTACCTCCGTGGTAGCATTTTATCAACTGTCCGCCGACTAATGTGCCCCGCGTTGTTGCTGGTTACTCCCGAGAAGAGAAAAGCTTTTCGAAACGAACGAACGAACAAGGCCTACCCGTAGCAGAAGACAACTTCTAATACGTAATACGCGCCGCACGAATAGCGACCGCATACTGCTGTCCCCACCTCACCCTTCCCTTTTGGTTCCCACCCTGCTTCCACCGATCTCCCACCACCGCTGGTCTCTGTCATGTTCGACCGTATCCCGCCGCGTTTTCAATCTCTCTTCTTGTCCTCGCGACACGAAAGGAACTGTTCACGAAAAATGCACTATCGAAGTTCTTTACAAGTCTCACAATTTATTCCTCGAGGCTTTTCGTATGTCATGCAAATTTACGAGAGCACGATCGACCAGAAGTGTCTCCTCGCGATCGAGACGTTTTAAATAGTAACCTACCGACGCATGCGTAATGATTTCATGATTCGGTGATAGCATTGGCTGTTGCCATGAGAACCGATGTAAACTACTGCCATTTTTCCGGCTTCAGACCTTTCCGAGGTACGATATCATTCTCATCGCGAAAACACGTACCCTAGAATCCTTTTCTAACATCTAACGATCAAATCTGTTTCCCATAAAAAAATTGTCATTCGATGAGTTCATCACTTTAAGTCTTACGAATCGATGAAAGTATCGTGTCTCAACTGTTATATGCCTTCCGTTTATAGGTTATCCCATCAAAGAAAGTTGCACGATTAAATAATCACAATGAAAATACTGTCGCTTCACGAATTCGATGCACCTTCCTTCGATGATTTAGCAACCGTCGCGCTCATAGAAGATAACTTAGAATATTGCGATTATGAGCATTTGTCGGATGAACTTCAACCGTTCTCGAAGTATTTGCGAGAGTATCCAGAGGTGTCTATCGCTCCGGATATTCTTGCCACGCGTGAAACAGCGCGTGCCGTTTGGGGCGATGGTTTGTTCTTGCCGGTGCACGATAGCATTTTTAAAAAAATTGCTAGTACGTGCAGGGAAAAAGGGCTGACCGAGGCGATCTGTCTGGCTGCGTCCACAGAGCCAGAGGAAATCACACCGGTTTTACATTGGATAGTTACTAGGTGAATCGCAATACACATAGCATAACTTTGTTTTCAATTGCAGGATCTAACTTTATAGTTTTCATTTCAGACTTAAATGGGTATTGGATTTAATTGATAGAGGAACTAATCAAAGGGAAGATTTGCCTACTTCAGGCTCTGGGTCCGTTGCAGATATTGTTCACACTAGGGATTGGGAAACGTCTCTTGTAAGGTCTTCAGGATTATTATTAATTTAGATATATAGTAATCCCAGTTATATTGTGAATCTTGATTTTCAGATTAGATCTATTGCTTGGCATCCGCACTGTCCAAGATTAGCAGTAGTCACAAGAGATGATCGTATACGTATCTTCTCTCAGGGAATACCAGTAGTGCCGATCCTAAGACACAGTGCTCAAAAGTCGATTTGCTGCATAAGTTGGAGGCCACTTGCTAGCAGGGAACTGGCAGTGGCGTGCCACACGGGAGTTCTAGTTTGGACCATCGAGTTAGGAGCAGCTAGTAATTCTCTTAGTCATGCAATACTGTTAAAACAGAGGAATCATGCTCCTGTGACAAGCGTTACATGGCATCCACAGGGTGATCTACTGGTGTCTTGTTCATCTGCGGATACGCATATAATCATCTGGGACACTTCTAAAAGAGAAGGTGTTCCATTGAGGCGAGTCGGAGGTGGAGGCTTATGCTTCACTCGTTGGTCGTCCTGTGGCTCTCGTTTGTTTTCAGCTTCTTGTAGAAATATCTTTAGGTACGTTCTGCTTTCTTATTTCGTTTTGAATTCCATTTAATTCGGTGATACACTTACAGAGTTTGGAACACGGGCGTGGCGACGTCGTGGCACGCGGAGAAGTGGACAGTACCTAATGGCCGTGTAGCAGTTGCATGCTTTGGTCCAAACTTGACACTGTTGTTCGCGTCGAACGAAGATCCTGCTATGATCTTTTCCTTGCCGTTGCAAGAGAATATCTTCGATGTGAAGAAATCGTCTTCGGACGACGCGAAAATGGCCACACCATTGATAGATTTAACGAAAGTGAATTTCTCGTCAAACGGCGATTACGTTGCTGTCGGTGGAAGAATCGTAGCGATGGAATGGGATCCCACAGGGAGATACCTCGCGATCCTCTTCCAGGTAAGATTTCTCGTGATGAGATTCCATATAGAAAATGTAATTTTGAATTCTAAATTTGTTGTAAATTATTTAGGATAGTCCTTGGGTCGCGATAATTAAAACTAAACTCGGGAACTTGTCGCGAGTGGTCGAGATCAAACCGAGTTGTCTCGTCAAGGGATTCCCAGGAGAGATTCCGAGTTGTATGAACTTCTACCAGAAGTATAAAGAAGATTCCAACATGATCTGTCTGACGATCGCGTGGAGCAGCGGTCGCATACAACATTTCCCGATAATCGAGAAGGAAACTGTGCCTGTCGTGAACGTATCGTGTTTGTCCCATTCCTATTCCCTGGCACACGACACTTACAATTTCAATCTGAGAGCTGCTTTTTGATGACAGTCAAGCCAGGGAATACAAGAATACAAGAATTCCATCGTTGAGTCGTTAATTTGTACATAAGGACTCGAATGCCTTTATTAAATCGAGTATGAAAGAGCAATAAATCGCTCGTTTGTATTCCGACAGAAGTTATATAATATTTCATAACCGATTCGTCAGCGCGCGTCGGATGAAAAAAAAACTCGTTGGGTCTCCGGTGTTCAGCACTGTGTAACGTGCTTGCTTCGTAACGTATGGGACTTAGAACTCGACTGCTCTCGAGTTCGGTACCTAATTATACAAAGTCACATGCAGAGCGCGCGTCTTTCTATTTTTACGTCGCTTGACCGAATGCTGAACGCCGACATGTACCGTGCATGACGCGCCCGCACTATTTCCAATACATTCTCTATTCACTGTTACACCCGTGCTGCTCCAAAGACAAATTACAACCGTTACTGTCTACCGTTTTAAGAATTCTGCCCTCCTAAATATATACACACTCTTCGAGCGTATTTCTTCACCCCGTCAGTTTATCTATGATTCATGAAATATGTATTCCTCAAAATATTTTTACACCGTAATAAATGCGACGATAAATTAAAAATAAAGTGTACTCTTGTTAATAGCAGTTATTGGGCAACAACCGCTACGATTAAGGCTTCGTTAAGACACCTTTTTTTTTATCCATCCCTTCTTCGTTCTCGCTATGTTATTGCATCCGTATGGGGTGTACGATCGAAATCCTTTTTCCAGTATATTTATTTTAATGGCAGTCGTACACATGCGGTGACTATGCTACGAACGGAGTTGACAGGTGCCCAGGCAAAAAAGCGTGGTCGAGAGCGAGCATAGTATGTATATAATGTAAGCATAGAGGGCTGGCAGGCCACATGTGCCACTCTATCACTTATCTACCCGTAATATGACATATAACCCGGCCATAAGATGCAACTGTGAAACGTGCGCGTATGCGTGGCTGCACGGCGAAGTCTACGCGCGAGCGTGTACGTACACAGGGGGTGAGTAGGAGGATGCACGGTCGCGCTTCTGTGTGCGTCCCCTCGGAAGAAACGAAGTGCATCCGAGTTTCGAGGATCGCGAGAATCATAACAATGCGTTATACGAGAAGTGGAGATCCCTTTTCGTTCTGAGAACAATATCTGTACTTTATGTTAATTAATTTTGTGTTAATTTTATACTGAAATAAAATAGAATTTGAAAAGAGAATTCGATCTAACGTCGTTTTCCTTCAAACGAATTTCCATTCCTCGAAATCCTGTTTATGAAAGATATCGGGATTAATTTCGATGAAAATCGAAGATGCAACGGAGGAGGGAGATGCAGGGTCAGTGAAATAATAGTAGGCTGTAATAGGAGGAAGGAGTGAACGACTCGGCCTCATGTGTGCGCGCGAAGAAGCTGTTGTTAATAAGTGACGCGTGTGCGGCAGCTGGTTTTACATTTTTTGCCCCGCACCCGATTCTCGGGGTTCGAGCGACGAAAGATCGGCCACCCCCTCCCCCGCTGCTACTTTCTCCGTCTCTGCTGCATTTTCAAGTGTTCCATAACTGATTTTCAAAGAGGTGCCGATCGTTCGATATAATCGATTTTTTAAAAGAATCAAACGAATACCATGGGACAAGTCGAAACGTCGTCCTTCGTAAAAGTAACGAAACGACCATTGATCTCTGATGTCTTCTTGAAAGAAAAAAACTGCAGAGACATTTGATGAAATTTTAGTATCGGATTCCCTCGAGGGAGCGAACGATGATCGTTCTAGGATCAGTGAAACAACAAACGAGGACGGTTCATCAGCCTCGAAGATAATCGTTCGTAGAATCTAGCGAAACGGACAAAAAAGCCCAGTGGAAGACGAATTCGAAAGGGAAAGGGGGACGACGAGCGTACGCGCAGATGTGCCACCCTGAAACCGATCAAGTCGAGGCAAGTGCACGGACGATGCACAAGTGCCGGAGGATCTTCTCTTCTTCTTCTTCTTCTTCTTCTTCGTTCGGCATATCCCGAGGGGAACGAAGAAGCGCGGCCACGCGAGTGGGCGGCGCGTACCCTTCTCGAAAGCTTCTTCCCTTGCTTCGAAAACAAGGGTAGAGGGGATCTTTTGATGCTGGAAGAACGCTTCTACTGATGTCTTGTCCTGACGCGGCTGATAGTCGTCGGGAAGACGCGGGAAGCCGAGTTACCTTCTCCGTGACACGCGCTTGTCTTTTCTGTCACCCTTCCAATTTGCTCGATTAAGTCGCGATTAAAATCGCGTAAGACCGACACTCGTGTGACATCGCTGAATGATAAGCTTATCACCGCGAAACGAACGAGGAGCCGTGGAAGAGATCTTTTGCGGTGGAATTCGATCGCGGACTTTGATCGGTGAACGCATCTCGTAAGTGTACAGTGAGAGATCGACGCTGTCTTACTGGATACAAGAGTCGATGCTATCGCGGACCAGTGATCTCGTTGATAGTGATTTAAACCAGTTGTGATCGAATATGGAGGAAGAATATTCATATTAAAAATCGGTAGTCAATTAAATACCGATTCTCCTTTTGGACGATCGTTGTTAAGATTGTTAAATCACGTCATCTTCATTGAATAAAAATTGAGAATAATTTTGATCTCCAAGTTTCCGTGAATTCAAACGCTTTGTGCATTTTCCAGCGAAGGTTTCATTCATGAAACGTTGATAGATTCCACGGATTCCCTCGACACGGTTTCACTCACGTGCTGCGCGCAGTTACTCGAGCCGCTATCGCCTTATGTCACGCGCGGGCTCGTTGCAACATCTCGGTTCATGTTTTTAAAACCTCCGTAACTTTCCATTTACGGTCCGCATCGACGTACTCACACGATTTCGCAAAAATTCCCCGCACTTCCTAGTGGTTGCGAAACCGTATCGATAATTCTTGGTCCACGTGCTTCCAGGTGACCAGGATGCACCTTGAAGATTACCACGTGAACAGGAGCGAGGAGAACGTGCAACGAGCAGTGTCGAAGAGCGTCAAACAGGACGCCTTCAGTTCTTCGCATTTGGCGCCTCTCAATGCCATTACCAATGGCCAGCAGCAACCCTACTGGGTTTCACACGCGGATAGCGTTTCATCTCCGGTTTTACCGAACGATTCCAGTCCCAGGGAATGCTCGGACTGGGAACAACTGACGACCGTCTTCCAGTATCCTTGCCAGTATTCGACGGACGGATCGCCGGGAAGCACCAGCAGCGAGGCGACCACGCCGACTTGGAACAATGTCGTTTTCAGCGAGTCGGATTGTTCCAACGGACAGAGACTTCCCTCCGTTGGTTCCGCGTTCTCTTTTTCCAAAACGTTCTGCAGCACGGTTTATCCGGAGTACCAGAGCTATCAGGATTATCAGGAGTACCAGGACGACGTATCATTGCCTCTCGTCCTGCACAATCAGACCGAGGATCAGGGATTCACCGGGCAAGCCGCGGACGAATTCGATCTCAGTTTAATCCGAGGAGACCCCACATCTCTATTGTGCAACGTCGAGTCTCCTTCATCGCCGTCGTCCACGTACTTGGAGGAACTCCAGGATCCGTTCTCCAATTTGAATGGATCGTATCCTGTCGGACATTTGGTCTCCGGTCAGCAGACTTCGATTTCCGCCATGAATTTCGTCAACGATGCCGCGTTGAGCGACGGTTTCGGGAACCAAGTCGTTTTACCCAGGGACGAAGGATTGCTGTTGAACGATAGAAGAGTTCCCACGTCCAAAGTCGCGGATACGGAGAAACGGAGTTCGTCGCATGGTGAGCATAACTTATGATTAAAACTCGTAAAATAATTTCTACTAGTCTCTCGATCCCTTGCACCTGTTCTCGAAAGAAATCGACCGCAAATAAACACAGACTATTTAGTTAAGACTGCCTCTTGACTACTGTTCTCAAGTAGTCTCGTCTAACAAGCTTGTTTACGCGTCGCCGACACGCTCGTTCCGCTTCAGACTGTTCAACGACGGACGACAACTTGACGTCTACGTACCAGTGCCGATGGATAGATTGCGGCTACGCGTTCGCCGAACAGGAGGGGTTGGTTCGGCACATCGAGAGAAGACACGTCGAGTCCTCGTCGTCGAACGCCCACGGACACGGACGACGGGTCCAGAGGGACCGGGACAGGGACAAAGACAAGGAGGGCGAGGCCCCTGGAACCGCACAGGACGAATTCGCTTGCCTTTGGCAAGGGTGTCCGCGCGCTCGCCCCTTCAACGCGAGATACAAGCTTCTGATACATATGAGGGTACACAGTGGAGAGAAACCCAACAAATGTCCGGTGTGTACTTCCGGAAAATTAAATGCCGCTATCAAATGTTTTAACTTCGTTCGAGAATTACATCATTCCTTTAATCCTCTTTTTTTTGTACAGTTCACCGGATGCAAGAAAGCGTTTTCGCGGTTGGAGAACTTGAAGATACATCAGAGATCGCACACGGGAGAGAGACCTTACGCTTGTCAGCATCGCGGCTGTTCCAAAGCATTTAGCAACAGCAGCGATCGCGCTAAGCATCAGAGGACTCATTATGATACGGTGAGTTTAATCATTAATAATACCTGTTATCAGACGCATCGTCTTATGCCGATAGCCCGAATCCCAGTAATAGAACGGCGCACGTGTTAGAACACTGGCCAAGATTTATCGTTTGATAAAACATTTGTCTCTTACGTAAAACGATTGCAATCGGAGAGCACAGTTTCATCAGTGTTAATGATTCCGTGCAACTGATTTTTTAATAAAAATTCAAGGAAAACACTCGCTCGATTGAGAATAATAGATGTATTCATCGGGATTTGCAGAAACCGTACGCGTGTCAGGTGAGCGGATGCGGGAAGAGATACACGGACCCGTCTAGCCTGAGGAAACACGTGAAGAATCATTCGGAGCCGAGCACGTCGCTCTCGAATCTGTCCTTGGCATCGGACAAGACAGCCAGCGTGGTCAGCAACACACGCCGCGATCCAATTTCCACTGGCTCTAGGCAGAATCAGCGACAGCAGGCTCAGACAGCGATCGCGTTCAGCGCGGAATCGAATTACCGGACGTATAAGACTTCTGAGTCTTACGCGGACGAGGACGCGGACCTGTTCCAGACGAATCTGTGTCAGATCGATAGGATTTCCATGAACCTTGACAGCAATCAAGAGTACGTCCCGATAGAGTCTGTGAAACGATTTCTCATCGACAGCATAGGCGAGCCGTACGTGGACAATGCAGGTGAGCTATCGTACGAATGCGTCGATAAGAATTATCGAGTCGAGTACACGCGGACTCGTCGTATTTTGGCCGCGCGTTAAAGTCGCTCGTCGTATGCCACTAACGGTGATACGCGCTCGTCTATATTTATTTTCAGCCAAAGTACAATGAGTCGGGTGTACGCTCGAAGATCGGGAGGGTTCGTCTGTGGAACGCGTGGTAGACGAAACTGGCACGACGTGAGCCACATACGAATATAAGATTTCCACAAAAAGTGTGGAGTCGTTGTTCGGCGAGCCGTACGAATCGTTATTGTACGCGTGCTGCCTTTTTCTGTGCCGGTGAACAGTAACGACGCCGATGACAGTGCGGTGCGGTGCATCGCCACGCATAATCTCAGAGGAGGTTCGCCGCTTTACGCGTTTACCCCACACCGAGTCTTAAAATAATATTCTCCAGTTTTTTGGCCCCCGAGCACACGCACGTACGCACGCGCCAAAACAGACGACGCGTTTGCCACGTGCGACACACGCGTGCCCTTTTAAATTCCAGCCGCGATTTTCCACCAAATAATTACGGTGAACCCCTTCCAAAGATATGACGGTTCGTTCGGAGTTGTTCGATCGATTCGGAGACTCGTGCCGATCTAATTGAACGCTAGATTCATCGATGATTAACTCGTTTGATCATGGCAATGGGTTTTTTCAGGATACCAGGTCGAGGATGAGGTGCCAGATTTCCAGGAGCTCGGCTCTGACATTGAACAACAATTTCTCGAGCTGAGCAACCTGGATGACGCGGTTTTCATCGATGGTTAAAGGAAAATCAAAGAGGGAGGAGAACCGGGAGGAACTCCGTGGCGAACGCCATATTTCCAAAGACTTGTTTCCATTTTTTATACTCGATTTTATATAACTCGATCACTTTATAGATAGATATATTTTTGTACATACACGATTGTATATATTATGATTAAATATGTGGTTTTGATTATCAACCTCGGCGAAGTTATTCGGCTTACAAAAGCGGGGCACTTTATTTATTCGTTACACAAATCATAACACCGATCGTTACAGATAATTAAGTTCGATTTTTGTTTTCTACCGTTCTTCCCGTGGCGATGAGACGCCGCAATAAGCTTTGTATAAAAAACAGTGACCTACTACAGAAATGTTTTAGTGCCGAGGGGGTTGAGCAACCGTTTATTTTCAAGCATTGCTGCACCGCGATGGCTTCGACTCCTTCGGCAAAGTGTCGCAAATGAGTTTAAGGAAATTCGTAAGCGCCTGGCTTTGAATCTCCGATGACGTCACCTGAAACGATTCAAAGATACATGATTGATCTAGGAACGGACGCTCGTCAATTACAACCAAGCCGATCGTAATTTTAAATACTGACTCCGTTAATCGTGATCGTCGGGACGAAAGAGAGTTTCGGGTCCAACTCTTTCGTCTTCTCCCCGTTAGCGACCAACAACTCTTTGGACAGAGAACCTGCGATGCAACTATCGATGCTTTTTCGAGTTTTCTCACTCAGTCCTACATCGTTGGCGCACTGAAAAGTTAAACGTTGCTCGGAAACTAGTTATATCTGAACAACTACAATTGCAAATGAGGATAACAGGAAACCACATCGTAAATTCCGAGATACTTAATAGCTTCTATTTTTGCTTTTACAATATGCCTTTTAAACGTTATCAGGAAATCAATATCGGCAGAATTGTAAAAACATGGAACTCCAATTATTGTAAACCATATTTGTCTCTCTTATCTTTAAACTAATAATAAAACAGCTTCGGCGCTGATAATTCTGAGTAAATTGCTGAGCTCGATTCTGTAAGAGAAATTCGTTGCCCGATCGCACGGATGTGGGTCGTGCGCTTCGGCATATAATTAACTGATATCCGCGGATGTGTGATTTGCCAATTGGCATTTTAAAAAGAAGTATAAATTGATACCCCTGGAACGGATGACGGCGGATATCGCGAGGCCATTGCGCAACCGACGAGAGCCACGGTGAGTTGTTGAACCTTTTCAGCCTGTTCTTCGTTCTGAATCGCGTGAATTCCACACGCCTGGGCCATGTTCCCATCGCACTCGGCGGACCCATGCTGGCACGAGAACTTCCATTCGTTGCTTCCGACGTCTTTTGTATGCTGCGCATCGATAATCATATGTTAACGTATTCCTCGCGGTAAACGACAATCGTCTCTGTTTTCCTTCTCACCGATGCTTTTCCATAGGGAACGAAAGTGATGCTGATGTAATCCTTCAGTGTGTCATACGATGGCACTAATTGATTCTTGATGAAACGCATACTATCGCCGCACAACGATTCGTAATAAACTCCTACGTTTATTACCGCCGTTTCGTTGCCAGCCACCTGTACAATTATCAAATATTGACCATACGCCCATGTGAGCTTTGGTGCAGTCATTGTCTAGCGTAGAAAGTTTCTAATATTTAAAACATTGTTCGTAACAAGAATTATCAACTAGCATGATTACAATAAATCTCGAAAACCAGAAACGTATCACTAAACTAAATTGATCTTCGATACGATTGATAATAATTGATAAAAATACGAAGAATGATTTGCAGATTGCAAAATTATAAAAGATTGCAGCAATAGGATGCCAGCAATTTGCTTACATATGTTTGGGTGAGTTACTATATGTGGACAGGTGAAACCGGAGAAAATTTCCACTCACCGTAACCCCGTGGCCGAGGATCGCGACGACGGCGATTATGGCTGCGAGCGAGCAGCTCGAAGTGAACAGGTAGCACCTCATGGTCTCTCTGGTTCGTTGATAAACCGGCGACCAGTCTTTAAACCAGCTTTATCTATAGCATCAACGACCGATGCTCAGGAGGGGGACTTTGAAAATGTAGAAGGGGTCTGAGTTGAAAGAGGATGAACGGGACGGACGGAGTAGGAGAGTGAGATGAATAATCAATAATACCCTGCCTTTTTACGTTCCCTTTGTGCTCGAGGAATGCACCATTCTTCCCATATCCGACCTTCGTCCTTTCTCAGGTACAAGGATACAGTATCTTTTCTTTTATTTTCCAGGTACAGTCAAACATCGAGAATGTGAGCGTTCATTTAAAACCATTTGAAGCGTTTTCTAATGACTTCACGAAGTTTTTAAAAAGATTGCAATCGCGAATCAGTAATTGAAAATTTATGTGACTGATTGTCACAATTTGAAAGGAATTTAAAAATTGCTATTGCTAAAGGAAATAGCGAAAGAGAAAACATGCGAGCCTCAAAAGGGACACATGTAAATTAGCTATGAAAAGTGAAACGTACGATGTATCTCTCTGAGTACGTGAACGAGCGGAATATTGTGTGTCACCGAGCGTAAGTGTAAGTAATTTAACGTTATACTCGGAACGCGCAAGCTTTCTATACGACTTTCTCGTTAGAAGTGAGCGCGTCGTGTGTAACGAATTGCCTACTGTCAGGCGAGCGGCGATGCATCGACGCTTGCAGGGCAATTGATGGGTAATTAAACGATAAACCAATCAAGTTAAGGAGTCAGTGACATTTATTAACAATTTGTTTAAATCACAGGATGGATGATTGTATAAATGGATCGGCCTATTTTATTTCAATTTTATTTCTACCTATACATTTTTAAACGAGCTAAAATTATGGATCGATGCCTTGATGAAATTTGATTTGCTTCTTAAGTTCATTTACTTCTTTTAACAACTGCTCGGCACGAGTCTTAAACGTTTTCGCGAGTTCTGCGTTCTGTTGCACGCCATCACCTTTTTTGTGCATTATAGATACATTGGCACACGCGTACGGGTTTCCCATTTCGCATGATTTCAAAGATAACACGTATGCCTCTTTAAAATTCTTTTCGACGACACCTTCGATGCCGGATAAGAAAATGCCTGACAAATAAAAGCAAGCCTGCTCGTTACTGGCATCGCAGGCTTTCCTCAACAGATTCATTCCAACCGCGACATGGTTTTCTCCCTTAGACTCTGTGAGTTTGTTGTCCGTCACTGACAATACGCCGGCGTTGAGGCAACCCTTCGGATCGCCTTGTTCGCATCCCTTCAGCATGTATTTGAATCCTTCGGCCACGTCTTTCTCGCAATCTTTACCTACAGGCGAACAAGATCGTAGTTTGAAATTTCGCGGAGCGTCGCGCTCGCCATCTGTACTAACCCACTGCCCGGTAGCCGCCGTATTTCGTGCAGCTCTTTCCGTAATTGTGCTCGTCGCAATTCTTTTTGTACACAGATATAGCCTCCTTGAAATCCTGCTTCACCGCTTCGTGATAATTAGCCAGTAGATGACAAACTATCGAAAAACCGTTGCAATGTTCTTATCGTGCCGAGGTTAGAATCGTCTTTACTTCTTACCCTCAGGGTTCTTCTCGCTCAAACAACCGAACTGATACTCGATGTGCAGGTTCTTCAAATACTCCTCCAGTTCCTCTTTATTCTTTAAGTTATATCCCGCCATGTCAAAGGCGTTTCAAATCAAAAGTGCAGACGAAAAACGTGAGTACACGAACGGGAGCATGCGGGAGCATATGATCACGGGTCGGAGACCAATCGGACGACGGGAAGGCTTGCGCGCGCATCCTTTGATTTTTCGAACGAGCGCAAGTCGACGTCGAGAGGTGTTTCGAATTCGCAGCACCAGTTCAGGTGTGCTTGTCATGCGGTGCACTGTACGTTTCGAATTACCTTTCCGCGATACACGAGGATAAATTTGTATGTCGTGGAAGAAGACGCATCTTTCGTTGTAGTAAGTACCCAGGAGTCAATCATGAACGCGGCGTAACTTCACATTAAATTACATTAATTAGCACGAGTCTCTATAAATTAATTCCTCATCTCATTTCTATTATAATGAATTCATAATTTCAATCATGAATTGAATAAAAAAAGTGTCTGATGATTTACACAATTTGCGTTCCTCGACTTAAACGTTCGACGGATTAAAAAAAAAAAGAAATTTGAACGATATAGATATAATTGCTGTGGTGAATCCGAGTTTAATTTCGGTAGCCATGCAGTGGGTCAATCCGTAGTTCACTCGGTTAGGGGGCCGTCTTCTTATCTACCCTTCGTGATCAGAATTCATCTACATGTCGAGCACGAAACGCGAACGTAAAACACGTTGGATGAATTGTTATACCTGCGATTTAACTCGTGTCCAACCACTTCATTCTTCACGCCTGCCGCGATATATAGATATATTTCATGCACGGACGCATAAATTGTTGCGCAACAAGAGTTCTTTGGTGTTTGTGACATCTGCGTATGATCGATGCACGCACATCTGTCAACCTCTCGCACTTGACCCACTTCTCTCTGTTCGATTCGATTGGTAAAACGATGAATTATTCTCTGTGCAAACTTATTTCCATAGTGATTATTTATTTATTAATGCTGTTTAGTAGTAGTAGACATTTATTGACAGGTGGAACGATGTTTCTGAATTAAAGGTCATAAGTGACTTCTTTCAATGCCAATTGGTGGTTTGAATTGGAAATGAAGATAAAGACTTTATTAGCGTAACCTTTTTATAATTCAATTTATTTATTCTTAATGCCGTTTATAACTTGTTTACGCCTTGTAATGTCTGAATGCCCCTTTGTAACTCTCATAATCGACTTTTCTCTAATTGTGTATATAATGCGAAGACATAATGCAGCTCGTTTGAGATATTAAACGACAATTAGTTTTATCTATTTCGATATACGATTCCATGAATCATACGAAAGAATGAGTGTGTGTCGAGCACGCTGTAATTTGGGGTAATTCAACGCGTAACTGGGTTCAAGGCCAACCCACGCGCCGCAGTAAAACACGAGTGGAATACTTGATCAGCTTAAAGAAACATGCTCTCGATGCGACAAAAATTGTACCTACTCTGGGAAAATTGCTTCTATACACAGTGCATTAACGCGACACATGCGTTCCTTGTTTCTTCAACTCATTTTTAAGCTTTCTCCTTTCTACATTGATCCATTCAAGTTTCAGCCTTGACTCTTTGCTTTCACGCAAACTTTCCGCGGCGTGCGAATGAAATAAAAACTTTATTCGAGTGTTGTATAAACATTTTTTATCAAGCTTCATTAAGATCGTTAATCGGAACGAAAACAGTTTCTTTTTTCCTCGTTTAATACGAGGGAACGGAGTCTGATTTATTTTATCTTGCTTTTAGATGAGCGAGTCAGTGAAAGTGGCCGTGAGATGTCGGCCGCTGAACCCGAGAGAGCTGCAACAGGGATGCAAAGTACGTTCGCAGGGATGAAGAACCACCGACCCCCGTGTTGCACCGCGCTTTTCCACTAACATTTTTCACGTCCCGTTTTGTTTACTCTCGAAAATATGTGGAAAACTCGTCATTGCTGTATCGAGCGCGATGTAGCCTAGCGACCGTGTCAAAACACGCGACCGGCGTGCATTCACTTTGCACTTTTCCTGCCTGATAATTTCCCCGAGAAATTCCTTCAGTTTTCGTCCTTTTCGAGAATCCTGAGATTAGAACGTTATTCTAAGTTCAGAACCTCGATTCGTAATTCTCTCGAGACGAATACGCTTTTTATTAAATCACCGTGCATGCATTAAATAAAATCAATTATTTCCAGCAGAAGAATCACGCTTTTATTTTTTTTACCCTTCTTTCCCTGTTCTCCGAGCATTCTAAAGAGCATCCTAGTATTAGGCAACTAAATGATTGTGGATTTTGTTGATAGACTTCTTATTTAAAATCTGCAATCACTTAGTTGCCAATCTAATAATTGCTGTTTCCAGCTAAACGAGTTTCGCTGTTTTGCACAATTGCTTATTTATTCGTCGTGAATCATACGTACACAAGAAAGTTACACCTACGCATACACAGGTGCCTGTTTCTATGCCACTTGTAAACCACGTGTGTCGTCATGCACGTAAAAGAGAAATAAAAGTGGTGGCTCGCCATCGATTTGGCATATATACATACATTCGGTCCGTCAATAAACACGTGGAACACGTACGGCACGTATATCTATATCAGTAACGTAAAGAAACGTGTGGACGATGCGATGGTTCGATACCGCTATCTATGCACCCTGTGCACCGATTAGCTTAGCGTGCCTACGCTACCTGCTGAATATATTATGGAATGGTAAATTTAATGACGGCTACTAGCTCTCCGATGCCCCATAGAGTACAACGTCGACGGACATCCGACGAAGGGTTTTAAGTTAATGTACACTTGCAACAAACGATCAATTGTTTAAAGAGTTTAAAAGACGGGCAAGAGAATTTGAATAAAAGCTGAATCTACGCGACAGAAAGTTCGATTTTATGTTTCACTTCGTTTCCACGTAATTGAATCGATAGTGAACTATTTATATACTTCTGAAACATGTATTCTTCTAATGCCTCTCGGCTCACGACTTCTTATAAATAAAACAATCTATAATTAATTCTGGCGTCAATTTTTTGGTTTGAAGAATACTTTAGTTAGATGAAGCGTCCAAATCGCTTCGTGTTTAGAAAAGTTTAACGGGGGCACACTTGGCAGTAGTTTACCCTCTTAAGATTCTTGAAAGAGCGTGTACTTAAGAAAAATATTTACATAATACGAGTGTGTGTCATAAATTTTCGTCTACTTTTAGCACCCACTGGGCAACGATTCTAATAAGTGTTTTCTTTATTTTGATTAAACATTTTTTTCAAGTAACACTGAACACACGATTGCTTTAATATTTATCCTTGGTAAAATATTAAATATTAGATAAGAATAATTGTAAGATTTTCGACACTGAAACTTCGTTCGTTTCATGTATGTTTTACTTAATAACAAAATATCTTTGCCAAGAATAATAATAATAATCCTCCGTCTCTAATTCATTCACTACCTTCAGAGTGTAATAACGATCGACTCTGCGTCGAAATGCTGCACTCTGGAGTGTCCAACCGGTGGAAGCGGAAACGGCAAGGTGTACCAATTCGACGCAGCGTTCGGTTCCGAGGCGACCACGGAATCTCTGTACGAGAACGTCGGCTCGGTGATCGTGGAAGCCGTTCTGAACGGTTACAACGGCACCGTGTTCGCGTACGGGCAAACGGGCTGCGGGAAGTCGCACACGATGCGAGGATTCATCGAGCGTACGCTGGACCACGTATTCGAAGCGACGTCGACGGCCAGCGCGGACATGAGATACCTGGCGCTACTCAGTTACTTGGAGATCTACAACGAGCGATTGAGAGACCTTTTACAAGACGGGACCAGCGATCTTTTGACTCTAAAGGAGGACCCTCATCGCGGAACCTACGTGGCCGGTGGTTTGAGGGAAGTGACGGTGAAGGATGCTGCGGAGTGCACTCGACTGGTCGAGGAGGGAGACAGGAGAAGAGCCGCGGCGGCTACAAAAATGAACGCTGCTAGTTCGAGGAGTCACGCGGTGTTGACCTTGTCGTTAGAAACATTGGAGATCAACGATGAGAATTGTAAGACTGAGAATACTGTAAAAAGGGGGCGACTTCATTTGGTAGATCTCGCTGGATCTGAGAGGCAAGCCAGGACTGGTGCCACTGGGGACAGATTGAAAGAAGCGGCTAGTATCAACTTGAGTCTCTCCGCACTGGGGAACGTTATCAGTGCATTGGCCGCTGGCCATGGCAGGCACGTGCCGTACAGGTACGTCAGTAGATGTCGGAGAATCGATAATAAATCGATGCTATCGAATCTCTTTTTTTTTTCGTTTTCAGAGACAGTAAATTAACGAGGTTGTTGAGAGACAGCCTCGGCGGAAACGCGAGGACCCTGATGATAGCTTGCGTAAGCCCCAGCGACGTGGACGCCGAGGAGACGCTCAGTACTTTGAGATACGCGGCTAGAGCTCGGTGTATCAAAAACAAGCCTGTGATTAACGAGGATCCGAAAGACGCTTTATTAAGGCAATACCAACTGGAGTTACAACGGCTTAAGAAAATGCTCGAGTCGAACGATCAATCACTCTCTCGAGAGTTTCCTGAAAGAGACGAGGAGGACAGCGACAGGCGAACGGAATACGCGCAGGAAGTCGAGAGGCTGAAAAAACAGTGCGAGGATTCGAATCTGTCGGCTCAGAAGCTACGAGAGGAATTGGAAGCTCTGAAGATACGATACGAAACCGGTGCTGGTGTTAATCCCAGCTTGAAGCCCGTTTCGGAACGATCGATGGACGAACAAGATTTGGAGCGTGAAGAGCGACGAAGGAAGAAGCGCGAGGCGGCCATGCAAGAGGTGATGAAGAGATTAGAGAAGCTGACCATCGGCGGCGAGGCGCAAGGAGACGCGGAATTGAGAAGGCGGCGAGAAAAGAGGAGGAAGAAGTTGGAAGCGCTCGCTTCGGCTTTGGAGTCCAGCGCTCAGGAAGGGAACGGAAGTGTCTTCCAAGTTTACGGTCAGCTTAGGTTAGTGATAAACGGATTAAAAACGAAATCTAAGAAGATATTTCTTATATCCTGATTTTCCTGTTGTCACTTCATCCACACACGTGGATTTTCCGTAGATCCACGGAAGACGCACTGAAACGCATGGCGAAACGGGTGAAGCAGCTGGAAATGGAGGCGGTAGATCTCCAAGCTTCTTGGGACGCGGAGCGTCGCGATCTTCTTCGAAGAGAACTACTGATCACGCAGATCTGCGAAGCGATGATCCCTCACCTCCGACCAGGGTGCCCCTTCCGAGACGTCACTGCCGTCAGGGCAGAGGCGACCTGGTGCGACGAATTGGGTCGCTGGAGGCTACCGCTGGATCTATCCACGCAAATTCCACTCCCTCCGCCCACGTTGGTTCCAAAAGATAGTATACAGTACAATGCAGTGACTTCCAAACCGGATCTCAATAATAATAATAATAGTAATAATAATAGTAATAATAACGAAGATGAAATGGGTAACGAAGCCGACAACGAAGAAAGTAGCGAACAGGAAGAAGTGAAGAAACCAGATATTGCTGACACTTATTTTCGACGGAGTAGGATCGATAAATTATTGGCACATGTCAGAGAAGCGAAAACATTCGGTAAGTAAATGTGAGAAGATCGATGTGCCAAACAATTTGGAGAATAATTCCTGATTACGGTACAGAGCCAGGGAATCGGCTGAGCAAGTCGGGCGGCTCGGAGGACTCGGTTCCACTCGGGTGCAATCATCATCAATTGAACGCCTTGAATCTGCAAAGCAGCGCGCCAGTGATCACCGATTTGGACGGCTACAGACCTAGCCAGCGAGTGGCAACGGGGCGGATGATGGCTCGTCCCGGTTGGATGGACGAGAATTCGGTCAACAAATGTTCATTTTTTAAAAAGAATCCTCCCAGGATATTAGAAGCCTTGCCCTCGTATCCCCAAGGCATGAACGGAGGCTTCAAGTTTGGGAACAAGCCCAGCTCGGAGAAGATGTCCGATAAATTGTCGCCGCGACTCATTCAGAACGAAGTCGTTGACGACACGACGTACGCTCGTCACGCTCGTTCCCCTACTTACTGAGATTCAAGCCACAATGGCAACGATGATGCAGCGCAGGATTAGAATCGTGTCACTCGAGATCTGAACGAGGTACGTAGTCGTACTTGTTTAATCAGTTCGAACGCTCGAGTAATTCACACTGTCTTTCATTATTATATTCGCGACTTCCTACTGCACGATCTTACTCATTATTATCGTCATTTAAAAAATATTTCTACATCGTCAGAAACAAATCCATGACAAAAATTGAAATTGAAAAACAGTGGGCATGTTTTCCATTTCGACGTGATAACGAATACGACCGAGTCAGGCTCTCGCTGCTAATAAGCGTAAACTGGCAATGAATCATGTCAGTCAGTCTCGCGTTCACAAATCGCTCTAAAGAGTTGAGGAATAAAATTATGCAGATAAGAACGAATATCTAGTCAGGCATGAAAATTTTTAAATAACCTCGTACACAATCGTCAAGCACATCCTCGTGAATACAAAATAGTTTTTTTCCCTTTAATTCCACGACGTTTATTTATAGACCCGCAGAATTATTTGCCTATTTGGCGACGAGGTCGTGCCATTTGCCTTTATTAAAAACACTAAAAATAAAGGTTACACGATATTATGTAACATTTTTTAGACGTCTGATGTCTGTCGCCTATCTTAAATATTGTCGTGTGAAATGTTATCGCCAGTTTTATTCACAGAAGCACGTATCGTGATTTTTTGTATAAGAAATTATTATTGATCAGATTTCAAGGTAACTCGCACACACGACTGAGAATTCTTTTCTACAGAACTCTGGTCTTAATTAACACTAATTTTAAGAAGAAATTCATCTTGTCACTATTGCAGGAATCGGATGTTCCCGTATCTTTTTCTGGCTCGACCAAAGGTGACCAGGTGACCAGATTGATATCGCCATTGAGAATATCGTAATAAACAGCTATTTACCTACGTCTGATGTAATTAATACGTGTTCCCACGAAATGTTTGTTACATAATCGTTCATTATAATTCTTCACGGAGGGGCCTGAACATCAAAAATTTGATCCTGCCTATTTTTGGACGTTGCTTCATTCCGTGAAATCGGCTGATGCGCTCCACGCATATTTTTTTACTTAATGCTTTCATAAATGTCAGATTGTCAGATTGTTTATTTATAAATGAAATATTAATTATGATCGTGGCAGAGTCTCTAAAAAATCGATGAAGACAGGCTTGGCAGTATTATAACAGAGACGTAAAAGCGTCGTTTGTAGAGCGACCGAAATCCGACGATGTAATTACACGAAAGAAACGAAAAAGAGAAATTTCCTATTCATAGTCGGTCATGCGATGGCAGCAAGCAACGGTCACGGTTGCTCGTTCTTTGTTACGTTACATTATATTCAAACGCTGGATCGAGCAATCATGATATATCGTTCCGCGATAAAGAACGTTGCGAAATGGCCACTCTCGAGAGATTTAAGGTGTACGACCGACGGTTTTCACTTGACACACGCGCCGCTAAAAAGTGCCAGAGAAAGGACCAAACTCGTGTTTAGCCGACGATACCGCGTACTATAATAATCTGTATGGATATTGTAAAATCGCTGTACATAGACTGTTGTACAATTCCTACGAAATCGTTGATAGAAATCATTATAAAAAGGCTTGGCAGTATTATAACAGAGACGTAAAAGCGTCGTTTGTAGAGCGACCGAAATCCGACGATGTAATTACACGAAAGAAACGAAAAAGAGAAATTTCCTATTCATAGTCGGTCATGCGATGGCAGCAAGCAACGGTCACGGTTGCTCGTTCTTTGTTACGTTACATTATATTCAAACGCTGGATCGAGCAATCATGATATATCGTTCCGCGATAAAGAACGTTGCGAAATGGCCACTCTCGAGAGATTTAAGGTGTACGACCGACGGTTTTCACTTGACACACGCGCCGCTAAAAAGTGCCAGAGAAAGGACCAAACTCGTGTTTAGCCGACGATACCGCGTACTATAATAATCTGTATGGATATTGTAAAATCGCTGTACATAGACTGTTGTACAATTCCTACGAAATCGTTGATAGAAATCATTATAAAATAATGATACGGATTGTCACTACTTGTTTCAGGACAATTTTCTAATGTGTGTATATTGTAAAATCGTTGTACATAGACTCATTGTACAATTGTTATGAAATAAACGAAGATAAAACAATGTAAACGTTGTACTTTAATTATCCTTGTTTCGAAACCGAGAAAATCGTCGACAGAATTAGAAACGTTCACCTGATAATTAGTAACTCGCAGTGTCAGAGCTGCAATGTCAAAGATCAACTCCGTTCTGGTAGTGGCAGAGAAATTTCACGCCAAGTTGCTAGAGCAACCGGCTCTCTCCTAAAACACTTTCCATTACAGAAATATATAGAGAACCGCGGCAAAATCGCGCGAGCGTTCCTACAATTTCGATGATTGACTCAGGCCGCGTTAAATTCCTTCTTGTGAGTCAGTCGCTCGGGTTTTCCAACAACGAGTTTAGTTCGAGCGCAATTTCATTGTTCGGTAAAAAGAGTTACGGCCCGCGGTCCGAGAAGTCCCAGCGAACGAAACAATTGTGGAGTTTTCAAACTTTTATCGAATTCTGAATATCATGCTGTAATTAACTTGTCTGACTTCGAACAAACTGCACTGCTTTTTCAGCCGGTTCTAGTGCGTGTTATAAAGTACACTCTTCCTGGAAGGAAGTGTACACCATTTTTAATAAACACTTGTTTTCCTTGGTTTTTATCACAAATGAAGCGAGATATGAAAGTATGCTAACTGGCAATTTTAATTAACACGAACGAGTAGAAATGATCTCGTCGTCATTGAAATAAGTAAAGTGGTGCACATTTTTAAAAATGTTATCAAGAGTGACCCGAAACGCAGTCGAGCTGCGCACTTGCCACCGAGAATCGTGTAGTCTCGTTGCAAAATTCCGAAACGAATTAACCATTGCAATAATTTAATCGCAAAAACATCGTCTTATCACCTCGTGCGATTCGAGATTAATATGTTGACCTTTGTCAATTGGCATTCTCACACTTTAATGATTCTTACAACGAGCAAGAAGCGAGAGCAAAAACGAAACCGTAGGATGACTATCACCACGATGATAGCTTTATGCCGCAATTATTTAAATAAAGTAAAAACAGAACCCGCTTATTACGTGCGATTGTAACTGATAGTTCACTGCGAGGTTTCTGCAATCGATCGATACCATAAATTTTATTCATTACTGATATTCAATTTATTTCAATTCAAGTACTTAGAAATGTCTATTGTGTCTTGCGCGTCCAGTTCTTCCATCGAATTAAAATACGATTCTGAATGGAACGTGTCGCAACAACTGCTCGTTAAAGAATAATAAAAAATTTCGAAACGCGATGTCTGAAATTCAAGTTCCGAGGCATCTCCGTGTACACATATACCGGTAACACTGTTACTTTCTCTGTTCTGCACGAGACGCAAAACGGCGACTGGTAAAAGCTGAAAGAAGTCCGCTTTCCCTCTCGAATACGCGTCTACGCGTATCTCGAGAACGCTCTCAAAAATCCTTTGTGATTCGCGTTGAGAATCGCGGTTGCTTCTTGTTCTAAGCTGGTCCAAGCCAGTAGAACGGGTTTCGGGCTTCGAAAGCCAGCAATCATTTATGTTTCGTAGAAAATCACAGTGATCTAGGTTCCAGTGTCAACGAAAATCTGCGGAGGTGTAATTAGAAGGCGTTCTGCGAATGCCTTTCCCTTTCCCTTAATTCATGGGTTCGTTACGACGAGTTTTATAACTTAAATTTTTTTCCATAAATTCTAACGATTGTATAACGTATGTTAATTTATCTACGTCAATGACTACACCGAAAAACTCTGATTACTTTGCATCTTTCAACTGTCGTCTATTCAATGAATTATATACAACGTTAAGGATGTATTGACTATACAGTCAATCCCAAAAGTTTATACACTTTAGAAACGCATTTTTTAAAAAGAAATCAGACG